AGTGAAATTTTAAAAATAGACATAACAAATAGAAAAACATTCCATGTTTCTGGCTGGAATAACTCAATGTTATAAAGATGTTAAGATTCCCCAATTTAATATATAAAATTAAAACAAAAAGAATAGCAACAAATTTTTATCTATATTTAAACAAATTTATTCTCAAATCTGTATATTGGGGCTGACACTGTGGCACAGTCACTGAAGCCCCACCTGCAGTGCCAGCATCCCTTATGGTTGCCAGTTCAAGTCTCTGCTGCTCCACTTCCCATTAAGCTCTCTGTTATGGCCTGGGAAAGCAGTAGAAGATGACCCAAGTTCTTGGGACCCTGCACCTGCGTGGGAGACCCAGAAGAAGCCCCTGACTCCTGGCTTTGGATCAGCACGGCTCCAGCCATTGCAGTTATCTGAGGAGTGAACCAGCGGATGGAAGACCTCTCCTCTCTCTCTCTCTCTGCATCTGCTTCTCTGTAACTCTGCCTTTCAAATAAATAAATAATATCTTTTTTAAAAAATCTGTATGTAATCATTGTCAACAAAATCCCCAAAACATAGAGCAATGTGAGGGGTACTCTCATCAGAATCATAAGATCATAAGGTATCTTAAATTAAGGTAGTTCATTTTTTGAAAATGAGTATTTATCCAAGGCCCTGAATTATTTTTATTTTTTTACATAAAATGCCCTAAAATGAATCAAAGACAAAGATAACCAGGCACATTAAGAGATAAAGCGACAAAAGTGAAGATAAATATCAGATAATGGAGATCCTCGGGGAATTCAGATAATGGAGTTATCAGTCACAAAAACATTAAAATAATTATGCTAAATGTAGTCAGGTATTAAATGATATGTCAAGATTGAAAAATTCAGCCTGAAATGGAAAATATAAACAGAGAAGTGAATAACACTTTAGGACTCAAAAATATGATAGCTAAAATTAAGAACTTTGGTGGATGAATTTAACAGAAAATTAGACATAGCTGAGGAGAGAAGAAATTAACTGAAAAGCAGGCCAGGATAAAACAAAGAATCAAGAGGAAGTGAGAAAAAGAAGTGGTTGTGGTTTTCAAATATAATCTCAAAATCACTGACATTCTATCCATAAATGTCCACCTTCTTCTTAAACTTTTTAAATTTATTTTCATTTTCTATTTAAAAGGCAGAGAGACAAAAATACAGAGATCTCCCTCCTGCGGTTCACGATCCAAGTGTCCTCAACAGCCAGGGCTGGACCAGAGTGAAATAAAGAGCCCAGAACTCGAGGGCTAAAACTGTGATGTAGCAGGTAAAGCTGCCGCCTGCAGCGCTGGCATCCCATATGGGCACTGGTTCGAGTCCCGGCTGCTCCACTTCTGATCCAGCTCTCTGCTATGGCCTGGGAAAGCAGTAGAAGATGGTCCAAGTCCTTGGGCCCCTGCACCCATGTGGGAGACCTGGAAGAAGCTCCTGGCTCCAGGCTTCAGATTGGCGCAGCTCCAGCCATTGCAGCCATCTGGGGAGTGAACCAGTGGATGGAAGATCTCTCTCTCTCTCTTTCTCTCTCTGCCTCTCCTCTCTGTGTAACTCTTTCAAGTAAATAAATAAATCTTAAAAAAAAAAAAAAAAAAAAAAGCCCAGTACTCATTCTGTGGGTGGCAGGGACCCAAGTACTTTTGCCATCAGCTGCTGCCTCCCAGGATAAGCATTAGTCGGAAGCTGGTTCAGAAGCAGAGTAGCCAGGACCACAACCAGGCGGGCACTCCAACACGGGATGGGGGCAGGAGGGGGGTCCCAGGTGGTGCTCCAACCGCTGCACCAAATGTTCACCCCTGTCCACTTCCTATGAATCTGTGGGTTTGTGACAGCCTTGATGGAAGTGATGCTATGTGCATACCAAGTCTAAGTCACAGTTTCTGCAGGTTCACAGCTTCAAACAGTTCTCTTAGAATGCTTGCCTTCTAGATGAAAACCTCCCTCTCAGAAGCAAACAACCATTTGTGAGAGTGCTAAGCCTTCCATAAGCTTATGTATAGACAGTCTGGTTGACAATTCCAGGTAAGTCTAGCCTTCAAGGCATCCCAACACAGGGATTAAACATAAAAAGTATTCAGATGATGCCAGCCCTCTGTGATGGTTAATTTCAAGACTGGGCTATGGACAGCTGGTAAACCATTGATTTGGTGTGTCTGTAAGGGTGTTTGCAAAAGGATTAGCATTTGAATCTGTACAAGAAGTAAAGATCACCTTCACCAATGTGGGTGGCCACCACCTAAGGTGTTGAGGGCTTGAACAGAAAAAATGTAGAGAAAGGGTGAATATGCTCTCTGAGCTGGGACATTTATTTTCTGCCCTCATACATCAGCTTTCCTGCTTCTTAGGACTTTAGATTCAGAGACTTATATCATTGGTTTTTCTGGTCCTTCACCTCGTAAATGGAAGATCATGGGAACTCTAAGCCTCCATTACCACCTGGTCTAATACTACTATCGATAGATAGATAGATAGATAGATAGATAGACAGACAGCTAGCTAGCCTATTGGTTCTGTTTCAATGGAGAATCCTGGCTGTAGAGGCACAACTGCAATTCACAATGTGCAACTGCAGACCAAGAAAGACAAAAGAGAATGGGGCAGAAGTGACATCTGAGCCGATAATAGGTGAGAATTTATAAATCTTTGGAAAGACATAAAGATAAAGGTTAAAATTCCCTACGGAGGCCAGAGTTGTGGCACAGCAGATTAAGTTGCCACCTACAAAGCTGGCATCCTGTGTGAGCACCGGTTCAAGTCCACTCCACTTCCCACCCAGTTCCCTGCTACTGTGCCTGGGAAAACAGCAGAAGATGGTGTAAGTGCTTGCAGACCTGGATGGCAACCCAGGCTCCTAGCTTCAGCCTGGCCCAGCCTCGGCCACTGTGGCCATCTGGGGAGTTAACCAGTGGGAAAAGATCTGTCTCTCCTTCTCTCTGTAACTCTGCCTTTCAAATAAATATATCTTTGGGAAAAATGTTCCTATGACCCACTGAACATTTTTTTTTTTTTGACAGGCAGAGTGGACAGTGAGAGAGAGAGACAGAGAGAAAAGTCTCCCTTTGCCGTTGGTTCACCCTCCAATGGCCACCGCGGCCGGCGTGCTGCGGCCGGCGCATCGCGCTGATCTGATGGCAGGAGCCAGGTGCTTATCCTGGTCTCCCATGGGGTGCAGGGCCCAAGCACTTGGGCCATCCTCCACTGCACTCCCTGGCCACAGCAGAGAGCTGGCCTGGAAGAGGGGCAACCGGGACAGAATCCGGCGCCCCGACCGGAACTAGAACCCACTGTGCCGGCGGCGCTGCAAGGCAGAGGATTAGCCTGTTGAGCCACGGCGCCGGCCCACTGAACAATTAAAAGAAAAGCACACCTAATCATATCACAGTTAAGCTAATGGAAGAACAACCTAAAGAGAAAATATTTCAGAAGACTACTAGAGAAAATAAAAAGACAAACTACCTGTAAAGGAGTAAAATTAAGAATAAATTTGACTTATCAATAGACCATGGAGGTAAACAACCAAAAAAAAAAAAATACTCACCAACCAACTAGACAAACCAGCAGGATATGTTCAAAGTACAAAAAGGAAAAAACTGGCAACCCTGAATTCTATATTTAGCATAACAAGCTGCTGGCCTGTCTCAATACATCTTAAAGATTTATTTAATTTGAAAGACAGAGTTACACAGAGAGAGAAGGAAAGGCAGAGAGAGAGAGAGCGAGTTCTTCCATTCGCTGGTTTACTCCCCAAAAGGGCACAACGGCCGGAGCTGTGCCAATCCGAAGCCAGAAGCCAGGAGCTTCCTCCAGATCTCCCACACAGGTGCAGGGGCCTAAGCACTTGGGCCATCCTCTATTGCTTCCCAGGCCATAAGAGAGAGCTGGCTTGAAGTGGAGCAGCCGGGACTCGAACTGGCGCCCATATGGGATGCCGGCACTGCAGGCTAGAGCTTTACCCATCACGCCACAGCGTCGGCCCCATAAATAAATAAATCTTTAAAAGAAAAAAAAAAAAAACACGGAGGACTTAAATATATGGAAAGATATACTACATTCCTTCTTAGGAAAACTTCGTGTCATTAAAATGTCAGTTTTTCCTTAATCAGTAAAGCGAATGCAAACATAATTCAGATTAGCTGACTCTAAACATGTACCTGGAGAAGAAAAAGTCAAGAATCTCCCTTCTGAAGAAGAAAATGTGGTCCATATTGGCCCATCCTGTGATGAGGACTTACTAAAAAAATTAAGAGTATGTGGAACCGATAAAGAAAAGACACGGTAACGAGTGAAATAGAACAGAGGGCCAAAACACACTCAGAGACACACAGGACTTTGGTTTATAACAAAGGTACTATATCAAATTGGTGGGGAAAGGAGTAAGTATTGAGTAAATAAAGGGGAAAAATGACTAAAAACACAGAAAGAAAAAAAGAAAATGGTATTTCTCACGCCATACATAAAAATAAAACTTGAAAGGAGTCAACAATAAGGTTTTAAATTATTAGAAAATATAGATTAATTCTTATAAACTTTAGAGTAGAAAAATTTTTTAATGATGCACAAACTCAGAAAAGACTGAGAAATTTGTCATTAAAATTAATCATTTTTATCAAAAATCCTGTAAATAAACAAATGTTAAACCTTAAAGCTTCCTGGTCCAAGCCAGAAGAAAGTATAAGTTCATCCTATTTATTTCATAAAAATTTATGACACATATGGTAAGCATATATAGAAATTAATGAACAGAAAGCTAAAACAAGATTAATAAAACAAAAAGGTTCTCTGACATTTTTAAATAATACTGCTGTGTCTCTGGCAAGACTGATAAAAAAATGGAAATATAGATTAAAAGAATGAAAAGATCACATGAAAAATAAGAGAAAACTTCAATAGTGAGGCCACTATTCTTACCTACTAGGGTAAGGAGGGGCATGAACGAGGTATAAACTGCAATACAGTGTGTTAGGGCTCCCATCTCTTTGTACTCACCTGCCCAGCCAAGTCTCTCTAGAAATACAGAGAACATTTTCCAAGTAAATTCATTCATTTATTCAACGACACTGGTATTCTATACTGGTCTCCATTCCAACCCCTAGCCCTGGAAGGAAGGAAGGAAGCAGCTCACGACCAGGTCAGGAGAGAAGCAGCTATCTGAAAGTAAGCAGAGGGAAAGGTGTAACCAGAGCTTTCCATCTGGCATCACAACAAAGATGGCAGTGATGTGAGACATGATGGCATTAACAGTCCACACAGTCCTCCCAGGCAGCCGTCTGGATGGACAGAGCATCTGCCCTCCATCACGTCCTCACTTTGTTTGCTACTTGGATTGGGAAACCTAGAAAACATGAGTGGATACTAGCATGCTCTTTCTTTTTTTTAAGATTTATTTATTTGAGAGGCAGAGTCAGAGAGAGACAGAGAGCGAGAGAGAGAGTAGTCTTGCATCCACTGGTTCACTCCCCAAATGGCCTCAACAGTCACAGCTGGGTCCATCTGAAGCCAGGAATTTCTTCCCGGCCTCCCACATGGTGCAGTGGCCCAAACACTTGGGCTTTCCCATGCCATTAGCAGGGAGCTGGATCGAAGTGGAGCAGCTGGGATTCGAACTGGGCCCAAATGGGATGCTGGCCTCGCAGGCAGGCAGACACTTAACCTGCTATGCCACAGCGCCCACCCCTCCGGGGTGCTCTTTTAAATCTTCTTCCGGTTCAGGCAACTAGTTCACAGCTGCCTTCCTCACTAAATGTTGCCTTCAACTTCAGGAAACTGCCTCAGCAGCAGCCAAGGGGCAGCCGGCCAAGGACTGAATGATGTGGGAGAATGAACAAGTCCGCTTGCTTATTTGGGACAAGTATGAAGAACCATCCTAATTCTAGAGCTCCCTCCTGCAACAGCTAAAGGCCTCACCACCACCACGTTGTCAATCACCCGATCCTGCCTGCCCCAGCTCGGTAGCAGGTGCACTTCCTAAGTACAGGCCCTACTCTCTCCTCTCTGTCTTTTTGTCAGTATGTTGCCAGGGAACCTCATGTAAGATAAAAACCTTTAAAAGGCCTTTTTTGGCATTCTCCCTTAAAGCCCAAAGTTTACTTTTTTGGAAGTCATGAATCCCTTTGACAATACCGCAAAATCCAAAGACCCTCTTCTCTGGAAAAACACAATTTGGTACTCAACGCTAATTTTACTTAAACTTTGATATGCTGCTATTTGAGAAGCTGGTTTCTCCCGCCCTCCTACTCTTTTTTTACTGTCCTGCTCAAGCCTTACCACTCATGTAGAGCCTCAGGTAGCCCTTGTACTTAACCCTAAAATCAGCCATCATCTACGAGCACTTAAGAGACTACTCTCCATTCTTTTAACTTCATGATGCCTGTGACGTGACACGGTAGGTTCGTTACCGAAGTCTCCCGTTCAGCGATTTAAGGACTTGGCCGAAAGTAACACAGGTAGTCATTAGCAGATACTGAATCAAAAGCCTAATTTGTACAGCTTCTGCTTGGAATAAATGATTAAAAAAAAAAAAAGGCAGGCTAAAACAGGGGAAGTCCATAAAGGCCACCTAATGAGGTGATGGTCGGGATTTAAATCCAGGTCGAACGCCAGTACTGGCTCTCTCATTTGCATTCGCCCCTACAGCGATTCCTAAACGAGTCTAGTTTCGCGCCAGGTGGACGGTTAGGGCACGTACCGTCTCCCGGAGGCCGCCGTACAACGTGGCGGCGCTACGCAGTCCCGCCCACGGGGGCGAGCTGCTTCGGCTTCCGTACAACATGTCGGCGCGCTCTTGGCCACGCCCGCTGGCTCTGACGCAACTTCCTGTCCTACGTAATCGCTTTTGACCTTTGAACCCGCCCGTGCTTGCTTCTTCCTCTTCCGGGACGGTGCTTAGAGGTATGGTAGCTGTTTTTCTCTCGTTGGAGTTATGGGCTTTAGAATCCGCCGCCATCCCAAGAGTTGCGGGAGACCAGACCTCTAAGGGATGGTTCTTTGAGCTGACGTAAGACTAAGGGCGCAGGAGGGAGGCTGATGATGGGCGATCTCCCCTACTTTGAGCCTAGGAAGCCCCTCGATCCTGGCGTCCCTTGAAGTCGTGAGTCGCGGGAGCTCGTCGCCGGGGGGCTTTGCCGCCCTTGAAACCCGGCGTTTGGGGGCTGAAATGAGCAGTGTTTCCTCTGGTTGAGACCGGGAACTCGCAGAACATGTTCGGGACATAATGCCCACGTTTTAATATCGGGCCTGTAGCTATCAGGCTTTGGGAGGACGGGTACGTGTGGTTTCGCTGTTGGCTTCTGTTTCCAGAACGAGTAAAAATGTTGTACCCGCCTTGGGTGTGGAGATGCAAATGGCATAGAGGTTTTTTTGGATCACTCGCTTTATGTGCCGTTTTTAGTGTACAATGAAGAGATTAGACTGGTTAGTCTTAACGTGGCTTTCCATAGTTCATAGAGGTTTTTTTGGATCACACGCCTTATGTGCCGTTTTTAGTGTACAATGAAGAGATTAGACTGGTTAGTCTTAACGTGGCTTTCCATAGTTCACTTAAAAGCAAAGGCGTCTTCCCATTTGACTACCACATTTTCTCCAATTAATAGATTTAAGTGGCTATGCTTGTGGGATAGATTAAAATTGCCATGATCTGAAGAGGGCGGGGGTTTTGGTACCCTCCTTCTATATGAAATGGCTGAACAGAAAAAAAAAATCGTTTATCTGTAGCTGGTTCGATCAGGTAATGTCAGGTATTTACATTTGATAAATGGAGCGGGGGAACAGGTGCTACACATGTAATATCAAAATCCGCCATATTAAAGGGCACTTTATCTTGACACAGATGAGAGGCTGCTTTAGGGAAGACGGAACTCTAAGCACCTAACTGCATCCAGGCACTGTGTGGTGTGGGATAGCTGGCAGCATGTAACCCTAATGACAGTCATAGAAACTAGGTGAAAATCCTATTAGAGATAAGGACCCTAGATCCTTGCATGTGTATTCCTAGGGAATGACACTACTCAGGATTCAACTTCAGTGCCCATTTGTACTCCTCTGTAAACCAGTGTTTCTCTTGCTTGAGTGGTAATAGTTTGCTGGACCCCAGTATAAACAAAATTAGGTTCTTTGAGGAAAGACCCTGATGGTCAGAATTTTAGCCAAATACCATGTTTCATTACCGTTAGGGAAACCTCTAAGTGGTTTTGAAATGTGGAATCCTTTGAACAAGACAGATAATGTGTTTTGCATGAGTGTATATATGTGAGTGGTGTATAAACCTGTGATGCTGCTTTGTTACCAAAGGAAAACTTGGCCTTACTTCCTTCTTGATTTAGGCAGCCACAATGGTCCAGCGTTTGACGTACCGCCGGAGGCTCTCCTACAATACAGCCTCCAACAAAACCAGACTGTAAGTCGTTCTGAAATTTAAAATCCTTATTGTCAGTGGCTTGGTGGCATAGTGGATAAAACCTTTACCTATGATGGGGGATCCCATGTGGGTGCCAGTTGGAGTTCCAGCTGCTCCATTTCTGATCCAGCTCCCTGCTAATGTGCCCGGGAAGGCAGCAGAAGATGGCCGAAGGGCTTGGGCCCCTGCCACCCATGTGGGAGACCCAGAAGAAGCTCCTGGCTTCCGACCAGCCTAACTGCAGCAGTTGGGGCCATTTAGGGAGTGAACCAGTGGGTGGGCAGTCAGTCTGTCTTTCCTTCTTTCTGTGTAACTCTGTCATTCAAATAAATAAATCAGTCTCTTTAAAAAAAAAAAAATTCTTATTGTGCTTTCTACATTTACTCTACAAGAATGCTGAGGTGTTGGGCTTTGTGGTCTTGCTTTCTAGGTCCCGAACTCCTGGTAACAGAATTGTTTACCTTTATACTAAGAAGGTTGGGAAGGCACCCAAATCTGCATGTGGGGTGTGCCCAGGCAGACTTCGTGGGGTAAGTGATCTTTTTGATGTGAACAACAGAGTGAGGGCTGAATTTGAAAGAATCCCAAAATAATCTCAATGTTTTCCTAATGCAGGTTCGTGCTGTGAGACCTAAAGTCCTGATGAGATTGTCTAAAACCAAAAAACACGTCAGCAGGGCTTATGGTGGTTCCATGTGTGCTAAATGTGTCCGTGACAGGTAGGTAACATGCTTGCTTAAGCAAATATGTGGATGTGTGTCTCTTTACACTGCCTGCTAATCATTAAAAGACACTTTAAACAAGTTTCATAGTCTAGGATCCTTGACAAAGCAATGAATGGTAGGTAGATTAAAGGACCTTGATTTTGTAGATTTGTGGTTTGGTTATAGATGGATGGAACAAAGGGGCTTACAAAATGAAAAACTGATTTTCAGCTTGACATTTTTAAAATATGGGAATTGACAGATTTGGGGAGCAGGGCAAATTGAGAGCTAACTTGTCTTCTCAAGGGAAAAACTGATTTACAGAGTAGTTTAGCCAGTTTGTTTGACTATTTCTGTAAAGTGGTATGCATACATTTCTAAACCAAATCCTGATGCCTGCATGCTCCATTTTTCACTTTTAAGGAGTTAAGTTTGTAAGTGTAGAGTAAGGCATTAAATTACTACAAATAAGAGAGAAAAATACAGAAGTAGCTGAGAATCTGAGAATGGCATTTGAGGTGGATCCAGAATGGTTCGTAAATTGTGGACAAGAAGCAGAAAGCGTTCGAGGAGAGGAGTAACCTATCGGTTTGATCTGGCACAGTAGGAATTGTGAGTGAAGAACCATAAGTGAAATTGGGAACATTGGAGGTAAACGGGTCATAACTTTTCCAACTAACGGAATTTGTTTACCTCACTTTTGGTTCCCAAGCTTGACCAAAAGTGATCACATGGGCACGCTGGTAAAGAATGCAAATTCTGAGGCCCTAACTCCTAGCTGGGCATTTGAGTTTTGTTCTACAGGATGGCCTAACCTTATTAGCTGATGTGGTAAGCAGTTCTGTGTGTGTGTGGCCTTTGCTCTGGGGAAGTTGAGGGAATTTTTTTTAAGGTTGGTATCAGTTGTATTGCCAATGTGAATGCATTGAGGAGATTTGAAGGAGTCCCAGAGATTTGTGGTTGGGTTATTGGGTAACACAGAGCAGCACAGGCTTTAAGTGGGAAAAGGCAGGCTCTTTACCTTGAACTAATTGAATAAATGCTAGCAAGCTCCTGATTTTTGCCAGGGAAGTCCTGTTACAACACTTATTGATGATAGTAATCAATAAGATGCACTCTACAGGGGACATCAAAGTTCACAGAATCCTTCCAAATTTAATCTTCATAAAATCTGTGCAAAGTAGGTTCAACGTTATTTCAGTGCCTTAGAGAAGGTATCTTCTGGATAAGTGGTAGAGTGTGTTCCAAATAGCCTCTGGAATTACTGTCTTGATCCAGTGCTTTTTAATTTGAGTTGCCAGTGCATAGCCTTCTGTGTTTTTTACTGGATCAGCAATGCAGTTACAACATCCTAAGGCATTTACAAATCAGGTAGTGTCCTGGATCCTAGTAACAGAAATTAACCTTAATTGAAAGCTATCATAAGCAGCAGTGGGAATGCTTTTATGATAATCATAACTCAGAAGAGGGGGGTAAGTACACTCATATTTCTCAATTGCTTTACTTGGGTCTTAAATGGTACCTTTTCTGCCTACCCTGTGTTGAATCAAAAGAGAAGTTGATTTTTCTAAAGAACTTTTAATATTTTCCTTTCTAGGATCAAGCGTGCTTTCCTTATCGAGGAGCAGAAAATTGTTGTGAAAGTGTTGAAGGCACAAGCACAGAGTCAGAAAGCTAAATAAAAACATGAAACTTTCAAGTAATTGATCAAAAGGTTGTTTTGTGTTCTTTCTGTTCTAATTTGTCAGTGTGCAGGTTTCTTGTCATGGTATTTGGGGGCTCAATGATTTTTCAGCTGTTTTTCCATAGGAAACAAAAGTGGAGCTCATTGGCTAGATTTTTTTTTTTCATGGAACAGTTTTGAAGGTATTGGAGTAGCTTGAAAAATGGCCGTGAACCTTTCTTTAATACCATTTAGATCATTTTTACAAAGGATGGAAACTTGATTTTAAATTACTTAGAATGGAATGTTATACCATTTTTTTTTTTTTTCATTTCAGTTCAGAATTGATCTTTTGCAGCTTAAAACTACTCATTCAACAAATAATGGCTCCTAAATACAAAATCTTGGGTGGTGGGTCTAGTAAAATCAAGTTCCAATTTATATTACATTTGTAATTCAAGCCAGCATTAAAGTATGGATTGTACTGTATTTTGTTTTGGGAACTGTGTTCCTGACAAGGTTATGTGGTGTGACGGATCTTTACATGCTGAGAGTACAGCACCAGCCCAAGTGCTGTGCATGCATATGTAGGCTCATTTGAATCCAAGACCAATTCTAGGAGCCATGGCAAGTTTATTTTCAGTCTCAATGAGAAGAGAACCTTCATAAACTAAGGGATATAAAACCTCAGAGTAGCAAAGGAATTATGTAAATTTTTGCAATCTTAGTGAACTTAAAAGTTGAATTTAGGGGCGGGTGCTGTGGCTTAGAGGGTAAAGCTGCCGCCTGCAGTGCCGGCATCTGATACGGGTGCTGATTCAAGTCCTGGCTGCTCTACTTCCAATCCAGCTCTCTGCTGTGGCCAGGGAAAGCAATGGAAGATGACCAAGTCCTTGGGCCCCTGCACATGCATGGGAGACTCAGAGGAAACTCTTGGCTTCTGGCTTCAGATCAGCCCAGCTCCTGCCGTTAAGGCCATGTGAGGGGTGAACCAGAGGATGAAAGATCTCTTCCCCCTCCCTCCCTCTCTGCCTCTCCTCTCTGTGTGTAACTCCTTTCAAGTAAATAAATCTTTTTTAAAAAATTTGAATTTTGAAGTTAAAAATACCCTTTATAGGTAAATGTTTTCGGCTTCAGTACTCACAGCATGTCGTTGCTAATTTTTCTTTTCCTTTTTTTTTTTTTTTTTTTTTTTTGACAGAGTGGACAGTGAGAGAGAGACAGACAGAAAGGTCTTACTTTGCCGATGGTTCACCCTCCAATGGCCGCCGCGGCCAGCGCACAGCGCTGATCCAAAGTCAGGAGCCAGGTGCTTATCCTGGTCTCCCATGGGGTACAGGGCCCAAGGAGTTGGGCCATCCTCCACTGCACTCCCGGGACATAGCAGAGCTGGCCTGGAAGAGGGGCAACCGGGACTAGAACCCAGTGTGCCTGCGCCACAAGGCGGAGGATTAGCCTAGTGAGCCACGGCGCCGGCCGATTTTTCTTTTCCTAAAAGTTGCTCACTTGAAAGGCAGTGAATTTTACATTCCCTGATGTAACAAGTGGTAGTTTAACCCACTGTGCAGAAGAACCCTGACCTCCCCTAAAAGATTTTTATTTCGAAGAGTTACGCAGAGAAAGAGAGGTCTTCCATCCAGTTGTTCACTCCCCAGTTGGCTGCAACGGCTGGAGCTGCACCGATCAGGACAGGGACCCATGGACTTGGGACATCTGCTTTCCCAAGCCATAGCAGAGAATGGATAGGAAGTGAAGCAGCCAGGTTTCGAACCCGTACCCATATAGGATGCCAGCTCTTCAGGCCAGGGCGTTAACCCACTGCTCCAAAGCACTGGCCCCTATCAACTAGTTCTTGAAGAGGAGAGGGGTTACAGAACTAGTAAATAGCTAGCTGTGAACAGTTTAGAGTAACTACAATACTTCCGTGTCCACATAATGATGACTCCTAGTTTGCCAGGAGTCTGGTTTAAAGTACCAAACTGCCGGCGCTGCGGCTCAGTAGGCTAATCCTCCGCCTGCGGCGCCGGCACACCAGGTTCTAGTCCCCGTCGGGGCGCTGGATTCTGTCCTGGTTGCTCCTCTTCCAGTCCAGCTCTCTGCTGTGGCCCGGGAGTGCAGGGGAGGATGGCCCAGGTACTTGGCCCCTGCACCCCACGGGAGACCAGGAAAAGCACCTAGCTCCTGGCTTCAGATCAGCACGGTGCGGCAGCCATTGGAGGGTGAACCAACAGCAAAGGAAGACTTTTCTCACTGTCCACTCTGTTAAAAAAAAAAATACCAAACAACTTTGGTCTTGACAACTCTGGACACTTTTATTCACATTTTAATATGAGGAAACAAGGACACAGGTTACTCAGCCGTTTGTGTGCATGCCACTAATGTTCTTGCAGGTAATTCTGAAGCCACGTGAGCATGAGATGATGGCTATTTTTTTTTTTTAACAGGCAGAGTGGACAGAGAGAAAGGTCTTCCTTTTTCTGTTGGTTCACCCCCTAGTGGCCGTTTTGGCCGGCGCGCTGCTGCCAGCGCACCGCGCTGATCCAAAGGCAGGAGCCAGGTGCTTCTCCCGGTCTCCCATGTGGGTGCAGGGCCCAAGCACTTGGGCCATCCTCCACTGCACTCCAAGGCCACAGCAGAGAGCTGGACAGGAAAAGGAGCAACCGGGACAGAACCCGGTGTGCCAGCGCCGCAGGCGGAGGATTAGCCTAGTGAGCCGTGGTGCCGGCCTGAGATGATGGCATTGTGAACATTCACAGTCACATTTGAGACCCCTTGGCTTTTCCAAGCATCTGCCAATACCAAGAAATGTATAATTAGTTACAGTATGTATGAAAAATAGGATTTTTAGTGGAGGTGTAATTGAAGGCCTTGCTAATTTCCCCAGACTAATAGACTGTATCAAGATATTTTGTGATCCTGTAGTGTTTTACTGTGTTTTGTGTAATCTAAAATTTTTGTGTTTTAAAATAATGATCTGGCTCTTTCCGCCATCTTGGAGCCTGTGGAGGCCTGCAGGGAGCAGGACTTCTAGAAGGCAGCTATGTCTGGAAGACTGTGGTGCAAGGCCATTTTTGCTGGCTATAAGCGAGGTCTCTGGAACCAAAGGGAATACACGGCACTGCTTAAAATTGAAGGTGTTTATGCTCAGGATGAAACTGAATTCTACTTGGGCAAGAGGTGTGCTTATGTGTACAAAGCAAAGAACAACACAGTGACTCCTGGCGGCAAACCTAACAAAACCAGAGTAATCTGGGGAAAGGTAACTTGCGCTCACGGAAACAATGGCATGGTTTGTGCCAAATTCCGAAGCAGCCTTCCTGGGAAGGCCATTGGACACAGAATCCGTGTGATGCTGTACCCCTCAAGGATTTAAACTATTGAAAAGTAAATAAATAAAAGTGGATTTGTTAAAAAAAAATGCTCTGAACATTTTGCCTTGAAATTTAAGTTCAGTTACTTAGTTGCTCTGGAGACTAGTTTTTTAGTTTTCTAAAAAATTTTATTTATGGGGCCGGTGCTGTGGCGTAGTGGATAAGACTGCAGCCTGTAGTGCTAGCATCCCAAATGGGTACCAGTTTGAGTCCTGGCTGCTCTGCTTCCGATCTAGCTCTGCTAGGCCTGGGAAAGCAGTAGAGAATGGTCCAAGTCCTTGAGCCCCTGCACCTGCAATGGGAAGCCTGGAGGAGGCTCCTGGCTCCTGGCTTCAGAGCCAGGAGTAAACCAGTGGATGGAAGACCTCTGTCTCTACATCTGCATCTGCATCTTAAAAATTTGAGAGAGTCTGCCCTGTGCTTGTTCACTCCCTAAATACCTGCAATAATTGGTCTCCCATGTAGGGTGCAGGAACTCAGTTACCTGGGCCATTGCTGTTGCCTCCCAGGGGTGCATTGGCAAGAAGCAGGGAAATCACACAGGTATGTTGACGTGAGACATGGAGGTTAAACAGTGAAGAAAAAAACCTCATTTGCCAGTCAAGACTTTCCCTCTCCCCACTTCGGAAGTTCTGTAAGACAACACTTTAACTGTGGTGATTATCAAGTTTTCGCAAAATAAGTAATGTGCTAACCTTAGGAAATTTTGAGAAAGCCAAAGCAAAGTACATACTTCTCAAAGCATTCTTTATTAAATGGTTTATTTAACCTTTTCTAAACTTAGTGTGCTTTTACTTATAAAAACATCTTTGTATACAATTTTAATAGTTGAATGTTTTCCTCCCATTTTGTTTTCAAGGCATAAGAGATTTTTAAAGTCAGAATTGGATATATACTGTTTGTAAAAATTTTCAGCTCTTCCTCCCCCCCCGCCCACCTCTGACATAACATTTGGGATCGAATTTCTTTTATAAATGTATTTCAGTGACTGCATGTACCATTAAATCCATGTGCCATAATTTACATATTCCTTTCTTCTGAATGTTTGGGCTATTTTAATTTTTCTATATTTTCAAATTGGTGACCATTCTTATTTATACTGATTGTTTTTTCCAGTTCATAAACTTGAAAAATATGGTGCTTAGATTGATGTGATCATAAAACTAGCTTTGTCCAAGTGACCACAATGGCCTCTCTTGGGTTTTGATTTTATTAAAAAAAAAAAAAAAAAAAAAAAGCTTTTATTGAATCCAGCTCTCTGTGACAAAGTATTCTTGACAGATTCTTAAAAAGAAGTGAATGTAGTCAATTTTTTTTCTCCCAAAGTCTAGTATTTCTCCTTCCATTGAATTGCTTATAAATTTTATTAACAAGATTGAGGTGGTCTTTTACCCTTAAAAGCAGGAAACCTCCATATGTTTAAATAAGCAAATTAAGTTTGTTTTCAGAAAGCTAGGAACATTAGATATTTTTCCCTAATGATAGGGAGCTTGAGTTCCCATAATTCTGATGGTGAAGGTTATGTCCAGCTTTTAACTATGAACTATTAATCTTACTGAACCAACTAACATCATACAATTCTTGTGGAATAAGATGGTGAAGGAGTTCTGAATGTTACGGTAGATTCCTTAGCTGGTAACAATTCTGTAGTTATTAAATATTGCCAATAATATAAGTGCGGTGTTGAAGCTGCCATATCCTGGCTCAGGAGGGCCAGTTGTGTGCATCCTTCTCCAGCTCTGCATTTAACCACTTAAGGTTGATACCTTCAGATTGTTAGAGTGGAAGTATTTTCACGGGGTGGGAAGATTGGCAAATGCTGCAGACTCTTTCTGGGAGCTGAATGTTGAGGATCACCAGAAGTGCACCACTGGACGTTACTCAGGTTAGTCTCTAGCAATTTACATAAGAAGCTGTTGGACCCAGGACCTCTGGTACATTTTAGGGGGCGTAATAATTTTCATGAAAAGTGTAATTAAGAGATGATGTGAGCCGGCGCCATGGCTCACTAGGCTAATCCTCCACCTTAAGGCGCCGGCACACTGGGTTCTAGTCCCGGTCGGGGTGCCGGATTCTGTCCCGGTTGTCCCTCTTCCAGGCCAGCTCTCTGCTGTGGCCAGGGAAGGCAGTGGAGGATGGCCCAAGTGCTTGGGCCCTGCACCCCATGGGAGACCAGGATAAGTACCTGGCTCCTGCCATCGGATCAGCGCGGTGCGCCGGCCATGGCACTCATTGGAGGGTGAACCAACGGCAAAGGAAGACCTTTCTGTCTCTCTCTCTCTGTCCACTCTGTCAAAAAAAAAAAAAAAAAGAGATGATGTGATTTTCCCAGAATCTCAAGTCCCCTCGTATATGGTACATTCTTGATAATGATTTACACTTAAAAGTTCTTTGCTATAACTGTATTAATACTTAGTATTTTGGGGATTGATGTTACAAATTCCAAAATGAATCTGAATCTAAATCCAATTGTGGCTGTGTGACGAGTTCAGCATGTGAATGAAGGGGAAAACAATCTTTCAATGGTGAAAGTTTGTTCAAACAATGAAACCTAGAGATGACAAGCACTGTTTTCTAAACCAGGAGTAGAAAAGTTAACATTGTCTTCATGAGTTAGTTGGTTTGGGCTGTTGGAACAATACCATAGACAGGAGGGATTAAACGAGAAACGTGCACTTACCACTGTTGGAGGTCGTGAAGTCCAGGATCAAGGAAGCGGATGACTCGGCATGTGATGAAGCACTCTTCCTGGTCTGCAGGTTGCTTTGCTATTTCATATGGTGGAGAAAGCTTTTTCTGTCCTATATCTTCTTAAAAGGGCACTAATCTCATCATGAAAGCCACTTACCAGACCTGTTGGTTCCCAGAATTTCTTCTATCTCCTAAGACCATCCATCCCATCAGGGTTAGGATTTACACATAAAACTTGAGGGGAAAAGAACATCCAATCCAAGGGCCGGCGCTGTGGTGTAGTGGGTTAACGCTCTGGCCTGAAGCGCTGGCATCCTATATGGGCGCCAGTTCAAGGTTGGGTTGCTCCACTCTCCATCCAGCTCTCTGCTATGACCTGGGAAAGCAGTAGAGGATGGTCCAAGTCCTAGGGCCTCTGCACCCACGTGGGAGACCCGGAAGAAGCTCCTGGCTCCTGGCTTCGGATTGGCATAGCTCCGGCCGTTGAGGTGAATTGGGGAATGAGCCATTGGATGGAAGACCTCTCTCTTTTTATCTCTCTCTCTCTCTGCCTCTCCTCTCTCTGTGTAACTCTGACTTTCAAATAAATAATCTTTTGTTTGTTTGTTTGTTTGTTTGTTTGTTTTGACAGGCAGAGTGGACAGTGAGAGAGAGAGACAGAGAGAAAGGTCTTCCTTTGCCGTTGGTTCACCCTCCAATGGCCGCCCCGGCCGGCGCACTGCAGCCGGCGCACCGCGCTGATCCGATGGCAGGAGCCAGGAGCCAGGTGCTTTTCCTGGTCTCCCATGGGGTGCAGGGCCCAAGCACCTGGGCCATCCTCCACTGCACTCCCTGGCCACAGCAGAGAGCTGGCCTGGAAGAGGGGCAACCGAGACAGAATCCGGTGCCCCGACCGGGACTAGAACCCGGTGTGCCGGCGCCGCTAGGCGGAGGATTAGCCTAGTGAGCCGCGGCGCCGGCCCAAATAAATAATCTTTAAAAAAAAAAATCCAATCCATTAGCACTTTGTAAATTAAAAGGATAAAATCCACAATAATTCTGGCTCAAAAGGTGCTTTCTAGCTTCCAGGATACTAGCTATTCAATAACTTAGTGATCCTAAATGTTTCTGGTTAACCTGAAGGATTATAAGAGTTTGAGCCCATATATTTATATTCTTTTATAATTTAGCTTTCATTCATTCACCCAACAGATATTTATTGGAAACTCCCATGTGCCGGAAACTTCAGCTGGCTGAATATTAATACAGGGTTCACCAAAGTGGACTAGACTGTCCCATTGCCACATTGTACATAGGGGGGATAACGGTAAAGGAGGAACCTCAAACTCACTGATAGTTGCACACGTTGGGATAAGAATCATAAAGGAGGCCGGCGCCGCGGCTCACTAGGCTAATCCTCTGCCTTGCGGCGCTGGCACACTGGGTTCTAGTCCCGGTTGGGGCACCGGATTCTGTCCCGGTTGCCCCTCTTCCAGACCAGCTCTCCGCTGTGGCCAGGGAGTGCAGTGGAGGATGGCCCAGGTGCTTGGGCCCTGCACCCCATGGGAGACCAGGAAAAGCACCTGGCTCCTGGCTCCTGCCATCGGATCAGCGCGGTGCGCCAGCCTCAGCGCGCCGGCCGTGGCGGCCATTGGAGGGTGAACCAACAGCAAAGGAAGACCTTTCTCTCTCTCTCTCTCTCTCTCTCACTGTCCACTCTGCCTGTCAAAAAATAAAAAAAAAATTAAAAAAAAAATCATAAAGGAAAGTTCATAGTGCTGTGGGTCAATTTAAGAACTTCATGGACAGGTAAGGTGTATTCTTCTATGGAGGTGATGTTTAAGGTTAGAGCAAGGATAAGCAGACACTAGCTGGGTGACAAGTATGTAGAACATTCCAAACATAGGAATTAATATGTGCAATTGCCTTAAGTCAACAGACAGCTTGTATTACAAATAAAATTAATTCATGCAACCCAGTTCACTCTCAATATTTAGAGCCCAATAAATCTGAAATGTGTGAACAACTTGTTAGTCACTAGGAAGGACCAAGCCTGTCAGCACACAGCTCTTAGAGCACTTATATTGTCCCTAGGGCCAGAAGATCCATGCCACTTTTTGCATCCTAAGGGAGATCACTGAGAGAAAAGCTCTGTAAACTGCTTTAGTTGAAGAAACTCCTCTGCATCAGGAGATATTTAAATTATGCAACTCCCTAGATAACTTGGGCACCAGCCTTCTATAAAGGAGGGAAAGGATCAAACTTATTGACTGAATTCCCCTGACCTTCATTCAGCTTCTGTATTCCTTGGCCTGTACAAATAGCCCGAGGGCCCTCTTAACTCTGTAGGGTTGGGAGTAAGCTTACAGCTTGACATGCTTAAAGAACAAATGGTCTTGAAGAAAATTCAAATGTTTATTGCATTTTAATGTAGGTTGTATAAGGACTCTGCAGGCCACATGGTCTCTGTCACAACTATTCAATTGTGACCTTCATAGAGTGAAAGTAGCCGTGGACAATTCATAAATGACTGTTCCATGTAAATGCCATGTTCCAGTAAAGCTTTATTTGCAAATACTGATGTCAGGTCGGATTTGGCCTGCAGGTCATAGCTTGAGGACTTTGTGCTGGGTGACCCTGCTTCTAGTGACAACTGCCATTGGACTGCAACTGCATAAGAGACCTCAAGTAAGGCAAGCAGAAAACTGTCTTAAGTCTAATTAGCCCAAAGGGTGATGGGAAAAAATAAAATGATTGCTTTTTCCCCATCTCTCTAAACACTGACATGATTTGGTACATGGCCGTATACCATGAAAACTGGTAGAGTACAATGATCTTTATTTCTTGTTGCTTACATACCCCTTCGAGAATCTGAAAAGCTATGTAGACCCTTGCACATTTTTAGATCATCATCTAAACATTTTCTTTAGTAATTTATAGCCTTCTAAAGTGTATCATTGCCAGTAGAATGAACATTTTGATAATTTTGAAGAAAATGGTTTGATTTAATATATTGAATAAAAGCTAGATAGCAGAAACTTTTTAGGCCGGCGCCGCGGCTCACTAGGCTAATCCTCCGCCTAGCGGCGCCGGCACACCGGGTTCTAGTCCCGGTCGGGGCACTGGATTCTGTCCCGGTTGCCCCTCTTCCAGGCCAGCCCTCTGCTGTGGCCAGGGAGTGCAGTGGAGGATGGCCCAGGTGCTTGGGCCCTGCACCCCATGGGAGACCAGGAAAAGCACCTGGCTCCTGGCTCCTGCCATCGGATCAGCGCAGTGCGCCGGCCGCAGCGCGCCGGCCGCGGCGGCCATTGGAGGGTGAACCAACGGCAAAAGGAAGACCTTTCTCTCTGTCTCTCTCTCTCACTGTCCACTCTGCCTGTCAAAAAAAAAAAAAAAAAAAAAAAAAAAAAAAAAAGAAACTTTTTAAAATACAGGCTCTTCCAATAGCTGAATTCCTTTTCTTTGACATATATTGCTGTTCTATTTCCTTGAGTATCCCTTACTGATAAGTAATTCTCACAGTTCTACAAGAGAGCCAAAGAGA